CTTTCCAGAAACCCATTCCACACATTAATGAAGTAAAGTGTATCAAGGCTCACTGTGATTATGTGGTATAACACCTTCCATTTTAGTTTGAAAAAAAAAACAAGGAAGATGCGTTCTGTTGACTATGCAGCCTTCGTACTGAAAAGAAAAGTTTTAGGACATCTGAGCATTCTTCTCACTGAAAATACATATAAAGGTACGTTTAGTAATATTCTATTCTTTCGTGGAGATGAAATGATCCTACTATCGAAATTCTGTTATATAAATAACAAAATCCGCGGTGAAGTTCAAACAATGGGGTGATTGCTCCGAAGGCAGGGTGTAATATCCTTTTCGGTAATATCCTTTGAGTGTTTTCTTTACAGAATTACGCTCAGTACTGAAATGTACATTTTTGAAGTTATCGAATGTTTGCGAAAACATGCGTAAAATAAAAAAAAAATTTCGTAACCCGGACATTTGCATTGCCCGATAGCGCAAGCTTAAGAACTTTTCCGCCAATTACGAGCATGATAATAATCGCACTGTCCGCTGACCACCTTTTATCTTACTTACTTGGATACTTGGACGGTCCGTCTTCACATATTGTGTGGACCCCAGCACATATTCCATTCGTCTCGTCTTTTCGCGATTGTCGTCCATGGCGGTGGTTACAATCGAGCACGGCATCTGGCTCGAGTTTCGTACCGCGATTTGTAGAATATCGGCAGGTTGTAGCTAATGTGAAACCATCTTTTATCACCTCAAAAAATCCTTAACTGAGAAAAAGACAAACAAAACAATCGAAAACATCCACGCGCAAGACTTCTTAGGACCACCTTTTATCATCTCAAAAAATCTCTAACTGAGAAAAAGACAAACAAAACAATCAAAAACACCTACGCGCAAGACTTCTTAGGCAATTTTGAATTCAAAAAGTAGAATAGGGCTCCAAAAGAACAATACTTCACACCTGAATAGAATCCCCTTCAAACTGCCATTTATACCAAACGAAATCAGTAGCGCGCTTGAAAGGTGCCTAAACATACCTTCGTTTTCGAGTGTTTTCTCAAGACCACTCTCGAATTTCAACAATTCGCGTAATTATTATTTGAGCCGACATGTCATGTGGTCTGTTAGAGCGCTGACTTTGAAGAGCTCGATACACGTGTCTCGTCCTTGACGGTCTCGTCAATCGGGCAGTTACCCGTCGTCTTTAGGCGATCCTCTCAGGGCATCTGTCCCCTATACTAAGATTAGGTGACGACGCACATTTTACACTGTGTATCCGGTGAAATTATCACCTAACACACAGTATTGTACCCTCCTAGATATACTGATGATACCAGCCAAGGGCAATCGAGTGTACAACACTGTGTGTTCGGTGATAATTTCACCGGGCATACAGTGTAAAATGTTCGTCGTCGCCTACTCTTTGTATAGGGGACTGAGCGCCCCGAGAGGACTGGCTAAAGACGAAGGTTAACCGCCCGACTGACGAGACCGTCAAGGTCGAAACACGTGTATCAGGCTCTATAAGTTAGTCCACTTAGAAGACCACACGACATGTTGGCTCAAATAATATTGACGAGGTGTCTAAACAGATGCGGTCTTGAAAATTGCGTGATAGTTATTGGAAGTCCACCTCCATCCCTACGCCATCAATTGGTCCGCAATAGACTTTGCGATCTACTGTGCAAGACCAAAAATTGTGTAGTCTGCCCTAACGGAAAGGAGGGGGATTGTATGAGATCGGGCACAAACTATTCGTTTACGGCATGTGACGCATGCGGGAAGAATATATATGCGAAATGGTAAATAGCAAATCTAAAGTCGATAAAACCCACCTTTGGGTTTACATAGGGCGCGAAGACACAGCAATAAAGATTTCGACGTGAAGGTCACGATCCTAGCGAAGGAATCAAAAACATCCACTCGCAGAATTCTTGAGGCAATCTGGGTAAACACTAAAATTCCTAAATGAACCGGAAGGACGAATGCGTCACCATCACACGAGACCTCGCACCCTTTCTTCGTTTAATCTTTCTACCTGACCTAGGCAGCATATAATTTCCTAATAAGATCCTCCGAAACATTCAAATAGACTAATACTAAACACGCTCAGCCCAGGCTGAAGAAGGCGGGTCGCCGAAACGTCAGTCGAATTACTATTATAACTACTTTATCAACCTCGCGTCACCTAATCGAGATAAGTTTTCTCAAATTCTATATATAATCAATAATGCCGATGTTTATGAAAAGTCGCACTTTTAAATCCTTAACTGTTCAGCTAAGGATTCACCTGACTAGTAGTTACATGCTAGTCGTCCATATAACCTTCAAACTTATTTTACAAAAAAGAGTTCCAATAGAAGTTGAGGTGAGAAAGTGAAGATGGTAACGTAGGAATATAATGCAAATTTGATTACCGATAAGAGTGGCCGTTGTTCGGATTGGATACGGTCATTAATACGATACAAGAACATTGAGCAGATCAGTTACTATACACCCCTCAATTCATAACTTAATGTCGAAATATAGCTCGTGTTTGTTGTAGAACCAGCTACAAGATACTAACAGGAATATTAGCTGTAATGTGAACAGGTGCTTCCTCGCTATCCACAGATGTGTACAGTGTTCCGTAGACATTGGAGACCACTAGAAAAGCTTAGGAGATATATGAGAAAAATAAAATACCAATAGTATTACGGAAAACATCATTAACGAAAGTTAAATATGAGATTGAAAAAGCGATGGTTAACAGCAAAGAGAATAACTTGAAATCATTGCCATTTTATTATATTCTTTTTGTTGATACACATTTACTCCTCGGTTGCATTGGCTATGTCTCTCAAAAACAACATCTCATGGAAAGTTCACAGGAAGAACAACCTGCATTTAGATTGAGATTTTAAATGGATAAATCCAGTGAAAAAACTAAACAAGTACTTGCTTCAAAGGTGTTAAATGTACCTTTTAGTTCTTTACTATGGTGAAACATTCTGGTAATATTCTCCACACAGTTCGCGATGTCAGGACTCCAAAATTCAAACATAAATAATATTATATCTTATTCAAGAAGAGAACGACACATTAGTCTTCACTTCGGCGAAACGGCCTAACAAAAGTCCTTCTGGATCCCCCACCCCCCCCCCCCCTCCCCTGATTGTGCGTTATTTTGTGCACTAGAAATTTTCTTTAGCCCATTGTGTCTGGATTATACGACAATAATAACAAGACTGATAATCACTACAGGTAAATAATATCTGTTATTATCTAAACTAAGGAAGGCTAATTACTTGTATATCGTAAGCCATAAAAATAGGAATCACAGTAATATTCAGATCAGCCTCAAACTTTAGATACGAGTCCTATTTAATGTCATCGAGCTTAAGATACGAGATTTTGCACAGAAGTTTTACTTAACGTTGGCTAGCATTTCGGTGGTTTCTGCGGAGCTGGGAAAAGTTGAATTCACACAATCAACCCAGCCAAACACTTTCATACTCGACCAGAAAAAACTCAACTGTTCTTATTCACGTAATAAACAAACCCGCTCACTTTGGCTCTTTATAAGTTTTCCACTTATTTGTTGGAGACCAGCTGCACAGAGTGTTACATGTAAGAGGAATGTGCCTAATCCAGGTAAAAACTGTGAAACGAGTGCACGCCTTGTCACCAGGCGGTTCTCCACGCACTTTACTTTCAAATTTTTGGAATACTGAAAGCGTTTCAAGAATATTACACTGAACGAAGAAGATGCCTTCAAAATCTTCAATGTTCACGGTTATGGGTTGTGGTTTATGCAAACTTGGTGAAGGAGTTTGTTCGGCTAACTAGGTGCTCATTCATACATTTAGCTAAGAAACTACACAAATACTTAGGAGTTTTATGTTGCCATTTAGAGTTATTGTGAAGTTTTCCTTTGAAGTAAAAATGTTTTGGTCTCTGAAGTAGTATCAAGTCTACCATCAGGAAAAAGATAAAGAGTCTATATTGCGTTGTGGAAGCAGTGGCCAAGTAGTTGTGATGCGCATCACGACGCATGTGAAGCCGAGTTCCACCCCACTCTCCCGCAGGCAAGTACAACGCTTTGTAGAAACGCCACAACCATACTTTCCTTGAGAATGCAACAAGACTCGCTCAACCAGTATTTTGCGACGTTCAAGAAAAAGTTGATAAAACGAATTGAATGCTAGGAATACTGGGATTCTCACAGTTTAAAAAAAATCGTGAAGACGGATCAATTAAGTGTCAGAAATGTCTGGCTGGACGAATTAAAAAACTTTCCTGTAAAATACATTGTAAAATTTTTGACAAATGCTTACGATTTTCAATCATTTTCTGTTTACATTTCAAGTCTTACGCGTGTTATGTCCTATCTCTGATTTAGTAAGAGCTCGGACATAAACGATCCATGATCCATTTGATAACTCTTTATATTCCTCGCTAACTTATGCAAGCGTCAAATTTTCTAGAATGATCAGTAACGAACATTTATCTCGCTCATGTTATCGTCTGTAACTTTGTATCAACAAGAAACACGGGCGACTGAAGCATTTTGAGTCGAGTATCTTTCAGGAAAAAGGGATGGGGTCCTTTGATCAGAATCTGATTAGAAGCAACAAAGAGCATGCTTATCTTCTTAGTGATTGAACAAATTGCAATCCTTCTTCATTACTAGATTAATCCAGAATTTTTCAACAAGAAAGGACACTAGCGATCTGAAAACCATTCAACCTTCATCCTTTCTCAGATTTATCAGCGAGATAGTAGTACTAAATTAAAGATCGATTAATCATCTATAAGCTTAGAAGTTATTTAGCCTTTAAGTACGGATCAAACCAAGCCATGAATCAGATCTGCAGAACTTGTCGCATTGTAATTATTTTGACTAAGGTTCATCGTTACGGCATGTGTAATACTTCTCATCGGATTGTGATTCACCGTAGTGCACAATCTAAAAGAAGATTATACCTACTCATGTAGACTATGTGGTGATATGCAAAATGCGGAACTTTTAGCTTCACCGAGAGTTGAACCCGCATCTCACACATACGAGGGGCGCGTGCTACCACTACACTACCGCGGCCCCAGCTTTGCTGCCACAATTTAGTCGATATGACTAATCGAAGCCGTCGCCTGTCTATAACTACTCAGTTGAACATTTGAAGCATAGAGGAAAGACGTGATGCTCAATGAATCCTTGCAGTGAAAAAGAACCAGTGGGATACTCGTACACAGGAAGATTGAAAGTCCACTAGGTCCCCGCCTGAATCAATCGGTGATCAACAGGACGACAGGTGATCTGCTCAATAATGTCGATATATGGCATTATCCAATCATGTTGTGTGTGATATTTGAAGCTTTGAGTCAGATGGGATTCGAACTTGTATTCCGTCCTTCCCGAGGCGCTCGCTAACCACTTGCACTATCGGCGTTTCTGTTCTGTCGTCATATAGCACTCGCTTAGGCACTTAGAACGAATTGCTAACTCTTGCGATCACAGCGAAGCACTCCTGACAAACGAACTGAAGATAAGCGCTGCGTTCGCGTGCGCGCTGTCAAAATGGAACGGAGCGCTGAATCTTCTACATGTCCTTTGGATTTCAATCTGACTAATCTTGCTTCTATACCAGTAACCATGTAGTGATTCATTGTTAATAATCACATTCTTTACTAAAACAGCTTCGTATTCAAAGGATTTCGCAACTTAGCTTCTAGCTGCTGCCATAAAGAGTGCTGCTGTGTTATCTCTTTTATCTTATCAGGAGAGAGAAAGAGGGAAGAGAGAGCGAGCGCAAGAGAGAGAGAAAGACAGGGAGAGAAAGGGAGAAAGAGAGAGAGAAGGTTCTGCTTATCAGTTAGTAATTGTAGTTTGGTTTCCGAGGCTAGATAATCAAGGTCTTCTTGCTGTGGCGTTGTTCGATTGAAGTTGTACAGTAACTTTCTCGGGTACTTTGTAAAGACATAATGACTGTTATAGTTTGTTGTAGTCGATTCGAAAGGTCGTAGATAAGGCATCTTAGGCGCTCATGGGGATCGATCCCCAGCAAAGACCATGCCATATTCGGTCGCCCCCGTTGTGATAGCAGTGCTCTTCCAACTGGACTATCGTCTGCAATGCTCTTACGTTCTATCCGAAATCCCTTTCTTAGCTTTTATGTTAAGAGGAATCTCTCTTCTTCTTCTTCTTCCTTTCTTCTTTTTCTTCTTCTTGTGTGGTCGTCAATCTAATCTTTCCTCTCCCTTTCGAGAAAGACTTCCAAGTGCTCTCTAAATGTTGCATCGCTAAAAATCAGTCATATCGACAACCGATGTAATCTGTCCCCAATGAAATTGCGTGATGTGCAAAACTTTGACGTCAGGCGGGACTCGAACCCGCATTCTACTCTTTCCCGATATTCGAATGTCGATATTGACTACCAAGCAAAATCGTTGACGGTTGCTTGCTGACAGATAGATGCGTTGTATCGCAGAACGAGTAATGGCAAAACAGGTGTCGATAGTGCAGCGAGTTAGAGCACAAGACCGCCGTTAGAGTGAGTTGCGAGTTCGAGGTCCGCTTGACGCAAAGGTTTTGCACATTTTGAGTTTCTGCGATATAGACGATGGCTCGGGTTTTTTGGCAACTGCCGGTATTATTCAATTGCTTACTTTTTTGGGAACAGAGATTTCCATTACAGCTGGTAAAGTTCTCTATGAACTGAGAATGCTTCAAAGTCGAGTCATCGATGTTTTTCCTCCTTTTAGTAACTTTTTCACAAAATATCAGCAAAAACTGTTCTCTCACTTATCATTTCATCAAATAAAAGAGGGTGCGGCAACATTCTCTGATCATTGAAAACTCGTACAAGCGACTAAGAAAGCCTAAGACGCCTTATATCGAACGAGTAATGACATTAGAGAGGTGGTCGCTGTGAAGTAGGGGGTAATACGCGCACCGGTTTGGGTGGACGCGAGTTCAACACTTGCCTGGGATTGGAAGTTTTGCACATCACTCAACATCCGTGGATTTGGTTCTTTCGACTAAATAGATCATCATAAAGTCTAATGATGATATTTCTCTTTTTGAATAAATATCTTTTGAAATGATTAATTTCGTGCTTTTCGCTCTTTTCAGTGACTGTACATGCCTGCTGCCGCCTTCTTTGTGAACTGGAACCATAGCGGGGATGATCTGCTGCCGGTCATCTTGGTCGTCTTCAACTTATTGCCTGTGCCAATTTTTCTCGCTATCACGTCTGTCACTATCATTCTCAACTTTGGCATTGCGCTCGTAATGCAAAGTGAGTTGGTTATAGTACTTTGCCAATATATTTCGATAGGCTTTTCTTCAATCCTTTCGAGGTTCAGTATGTGCCAGTGGCTTACGTACGTTACGGCAGTTTCGCCTGCCTCGTCAGAGACACACGCCCCATAGTATAGGAATGTAGAGATAAAGAATTTTAGGACTAGACAACATGAAATATTGGCTGAGTCGATATACAGTCTTAAGGACCTAGGAGCAATCTCTCGGAACCAAGACGAGATTTTAGAAATTAGTCGATTAAGTGGCAATACGTATGTTTCGTCTTTCATCTCTTCTTTCGAGATATGCCCTCTATCGAAGGTATCTTTGTAAGTCAGTCTTGGTACGATAGTAGCCCACGAAAGCTCACAATGCAGCTCATTTTATTAACTATAGTAAAGGCTATCGAATCCATATTTCAGCTATGCAGCGACTTATAGGGCTCCTAGACAAGTCTAATTGTTCTACACATATCACTTCTCATTATTACTGTTGGAGCGTCAGTGATGCAGCGGTTAGAGGTGCTCTGAGTCGTCCACGAGGTGGATGATGCGATCTCGTGTTCATGGCACACCACGCCATCCATCTCTGCGGGCTCGCTAAATTGGCACCAGGCTGGTTCGGGACTTGTCTGGGAGGATAGGCAGCACTGACTTGACATAGCAGTAGGCCACCGCAAGTCATTGTAAAGGCCAAATATGCATTCAATCACCTTAATTGATGCTAACAATTGAAGTCGAATGCATGGCGCATCCCTCAGGGATTGATCAACGCTGAGCGCTTTATTCTTTTAGCTTTACTTAATATACTTCAAAATCATTTTTCAGTACTGAATCTCATTCGTACTTCATTTCTCAGGGCAAATAAGTTTTTACATTATTTTAAGCGTAGCTTGTTTTACTGGATCTGCTTTCTTTTCAGTGATGGCAGTGGTGTTGTGTTTGGCATGGCTTGTGCCTTGTATGATTTTGTGTTCGGTGACTGCGTTGTGCTTTTGGCAGGCCATCCACTTTACACGTTTCATGACCGGAATACTTATAGATAGGCGTATTGGTATGACAATGTCACCGCATAAGCTTTACTGACATTTTCTGTTCGTCAAAAAACCGCAGACTTGTCTTCACGGGAACTGACTATGATCTCTTTTGTAATTTGTAGAGTTTGATTTCTACCATGTGCACAATAAACGCTTCATAAGTGATTATGGTCTTCTGCCGATAATCTTCTCACTTTTGAATTTCGATGATAGGGTTTTATTCGATACACGATTGATTTTATTGAAGAGTGGAATGTTGCATGTTTAGTGAAAATGATGTTAAACACACTGTGCAAGGATATTTCGAGGACATCAGAAAGTTCATTTTCTGAAAAGATTCCAATAAACAGCTCTGTTTTTCTATCATAGTCAGAGGATTGACATCTACAATTGACAAGCAGAAACATCTTGAGCTGCAGAAGTTCACAAATAATACATCTTTGAGCATCTACATTTTCCCTTGTAGTCTGGTCCTTATGAGTAGTGCTAAAGTCTCAACAAGTTATCGGACGAATTTGTTATTGATATAATTTCAATCAACATTATGATTAAAGGAAGTAAATGGCATAGAGGTAGTGATGCTGTTCGTTACATATACGGCCCTACCTACCTAATAGCTAGTTCGACCCTGCACGGCCTTCCAAGACATCCATCCATATGGGATTGGCAAATTCATGTCAAACTTTTCTGGGGTAAGCTGACTCGCTTTAATCAGTGTGAGGCTCTCCAGCGCGGTTATCTGAAGATTTGCGGAGAATCGACCAGCATCTAACGCTATTCTTGGCAACTACGGTCTTCAAATAGCAGCTGAAACGGGGTGCAGAAAAAGCGAATATCCTCGTGGATGATTTGTTGTGGAAAGGAATCGAATCCGAGCAATGCAGGGATTTACATTGTGTGATGCATATGATGTAGGTTCATGTAAGAGCGTATGTAGCGTAAAGGTTGGAGGTGCTCTGCATCGCGCACAAGGAGAATGGTTCGATCTCGCGCTATGGTTTACCATAGCCTTCCATCCCTCCGACATCGGCAAAAATGCTAGCACACATGTCTGGGAGGACAAGCAACACTGCGCTAACTTGGTACATTGCTAGGCCACCACAATTCATTGTAAAAGCCAGATATGCTTTCAATCAACTCAAAAGAAGCTGGGTCATGTGATAATGGAAAATAGTGAGTGCGAACACAAACCGGCTTCTCCGTTGTAAATCATTTAGCGCCCTGAAGGCCAATCATTCGCCATCGTTGTCATCGCCATTATCGTCGTTTACGTTTACTGATAGAGTGCTGATAGGAAATCGTATGCCCTTTGACATTTTCGTTACCTCTTCATTTTTTTTCGATCACTCCTTTAAGTAATTTTGACGTTTGCACTATTTCAGACGTCGACGTACTTCAATACCGTTCGCTTTACTTAGATTTAACATGATTTCGTCTTTAACTTGATTATTTAGTTTTTGTAAAGAAATCAAAAAGAGATTTGATGATAAAAACTTCATACTGACATTTTTATCCCATCAAATTTGTTCACTTAAACAGGAATCACTGCCTGTAGTTTTTCAATTTGTTTCGATAGGCGGTCGAGCATTTCCGTCTCCTTTCTGCTAGGTGTAATGACGTTGTTACTTAACATTGCAGTACTCCCAGATATTCACCATATTAACTATCTTGGAGTACTGTTGGACCCGTCTGTAGTGGTAATGAGAGCCCTAGCATAGTTTCTATTCGATTCCATCTCGGTCAGATGTCGTCCATAATGGTGGTCT